TTTTTTTTTTTTTTTTTTTTTTTTTTTTTGATTAGTTGGATGAGCAGCAGCGTTAACTAATTTCATCTTCACCAGTTTTGGTCGACGGAATACGAAAATAAAAATACTCAAGTCACGAGAAAATTTAATTTCTAGCTTATTTTAGTTAATAGTATTTTTTGGCCGGCATTATTTACCAATAACAGATGCAAATAATTCCGGCGCAGAGCTTCCAAGCGCCATGAAGGTTGCCCCAGCAACATCTGTCTGAAGTCCAAGACGATCACAGATAATTTCTAAGCACGGAACGAAGTAGTCATCACAAACGATTGCAATGGCCCAAAACATGTAAAATGACACGAGAAAGTTAACCAACACAGCGCCATGTTGTCTTTGCTTTTGGTTGAACATGTCATCCGGAAACTCTAGAATCGCTGGAGGTGTACAGTTGAGTTTTCGTGTTTTGTGGGCGAGAAGTCGCCTCGAGGGTAATTGAAACTCTTCCACATCACTCCTTTCTAAATTAAAATGAATTAAAATGAATTATTTTCTTTTCCCACAAGCAAGATATCAATCAATAAACTTTATTTATCGACGGTAAACGGCTCTGATTTTTAGACATGCCTTGCTAACTTTATACCTTACCCAGGCAATCAAATTTCTCGCTTGAGCAGTTTTAAAATGACACTCGGGTAAAACATGTCATCTAAGCAAGAGTTTACTGTCTCAACCTTAATTGGCCTCCCCTGGTTGTTCACTGTGTGCTCATTAATGATTAGGCTCGTATATTTGATTATAGTATCAGTATTTCGGAAATGGAAAGCCCATTGAAACTGAGATAAGATATAAGGTGAAGAAAATTGGATCTGTCAACAAGTTAACACCTGTTGATTCCTGATCAGAGGCCAGAATCAAAGACGTCCTCACGAGTAGGAAATCACTTAGACGTTGCTCAGAGGATACTATGTTACTTCTTGAAATTGCGCTGCTAAGCAGTGAACCTAACCATCTGAACTTGCATATTTAAAAAAAAAAAAAGAATTGGGAAATTATTGGTATCAAAAGAATGAATGCAAAAGTGTATATTCCTTAGTTGTGTATCGAGTATCTGTGAAGGCGAGAAGGGTATGAGCTAATGGTTAGAGTGACCTACAACCAGTTACCCTTGGGCCAGTTTGCCATAAAGTTGATATCTTTTTTTTAAATTGAAACGAATCTCTTATTGGAATTGCTACTGCTAAACCGTAGCTTTCAAGAAAATTGATTTAACTATTTTTACCATTGTTGACCAATAGAATCAATGTTATAAAACGTTGAGTCCGAAGGGTAAAAAAAGTAGAATTGACTTTCTAAGGGAATGTAAAAAAGAAATCGAACATACAAATCTTTACAAAATTCTGCTATATCTAGGGCTAGCTTTTTCTTATCGGTTATGACATTCCCCAGTGTGAAGTACCCAGCCCGTACCCAGTTGATCGTAATACCAGTACTGGATCACATTGCAGTGATTATTTTTGTTATTTTTATCAGAAATCATAATATTTTGTAGAGACGTCTTTAGAAGACGCTTTATGAATAAGAAACACTCGGAAAGCATTGGGAAAGAATGGAGAGAAAATCAAGAGCAATCAAACTTCACGAAAACTTCAAACTTAATCCTTCATCTTACCTGCGGATTGTGTTGTCGTCTTGTCATTGGCAAAACTGCTGTATGTTGAGGCTACGACTACATATAGAGCTAGGATAACTATAGCAGTCAGTACTCGGTTCTTGAAGAACCTTTTTCGGCTCTTCATAACTCTGTAAGATAAAAAGTAATTAAAAGGAAGGTAAAGTTACATTTGGATGGAGAACGGTACTCCACAGCTCTTCCTTACGGCCATCCTTCATGTGGTCTTCTTAGTGTCACTGGCTCAGATATTTAGAAAAACATTATTTATTCAAAGCCAACTACCTGTCATTCTTTTTAAATACCTGTCGTAAAGGTTATGGTTCTAGCAACACCTACTTCACTTGAATTATTATGGTATTCAGCCATAGACAAAAATAGACACACATATATACATTTGGTCGCAAGAGGTTGTCATATCAAAATAAAAAATAACAAAAAACCAATAAAAACTGATTAGAATTAGTTTTTTCATTTTGATTCAAAAGCCCTTGATGAAAATAACTGATCAAGAAACAAGGTCAAATATCAAAAACGTCAGCGGTCTATACCTCCAAAACAGTGAAATACTAAAATACACCAGCTTTTTGCTTTGAAATGATTAACAACATTCGTTATTTTTATATGATAACGTTCCTGCAATTAGATGTATATAGGTTCATAGAAAACTATTTATTTCCGTAATTTTCATGCAAGCCATTTTATCTCATATAGAAGTGTTTCGTTTATTGACGAAATGTTACAAGCTACGGTTTCAGAACTACCAATTTTTGGACTGCTCTCTCTACAGTGGTGTAGTTTCTTCCTTGGTAGGTTTTCCGCGGCTCCCCTTGCTTGGGTACTTTGTACTGTACTTGCACTCGTCGAACTTTTCCATCTTGATCTGATTCAGCCTTGGATACCTTTCCAAGCTTCCAGTTTCCTCTCACCAAGTTTGAGTCTTGTATCATCACTATATCTCCAACCTTGACATCTCGTCTGGCGGTATGCCACTTCTGTTTCATTAATTCTCGCATATCTTGCGTCAAAATGATTTTAGATAGAGGAAATGATTTCAGGATAGAGTTACTTCTTATAGATATATAAACGGCATCACGATATTTTTCCAGATAGATGCTATGCTGCACAATTCATCTTCATATCCAACTAAAATTGTGCCGGGTCTAAAATGCAGTTAACGCGATTTCTTTAATAGAGTAGAACAGAAAAGAAAGCTCAAGAGGTTTAGATAATCGAAGAACATATCAACTTGCACCCTGTGGCCGGTTGCGATAATAATATTATTCAATATCGAATAATAATATCTGTTTTTTAGGGAGGATCATTTAAAGATAGGTAGGCAGGGGGGTAAGTTACTAGTAATCCCGCCTAGAGCTTAGATTTTTTTTCCGAGATAAATTTGCTTGGCAAAACACAATTCACATCTTTAGTAACTTTCTCCTGATGAAAGTTATAAAAGTCATCAGTTTTTTTAGCTTGAAAATTGACTTCAATCACAGAGTGATTCGCGTTAATAACGTTTTATTTGACCAAGATATGACGTGATGAAATCTCAAACGACCTGCTGATTCTGTGTTGAGCGAATGACTTCTGAAAAAATGAAAATATCGTCCAGACGCTGATCTATATATGATCGTCGGCGGTTCTTCCATTGCTTGGTACAGGAAATGTTGACTTATTGATACAAAGGAATATTTTTACGCTGAATTGCACCCGTACTTACAATTCAATAAACTGACACTAAAACTGATCATTTATTATGTCGCGGGGGAAGGG